AGTATTGACAAATGTCAGTTCGTCTTTCGATTAGACCTGCCGTACCTGTAAATTTTCGCCAATTTACAGTAAAATATCTTATAAGTATCTTGGATATTCTTTGGAACCACTGAAGCATATAATGATAGGTTCCCGATATTGCCGATATAACTTTCAAAATAGCCTTCCGAAATCTTTAGCGTGAATATTTGGTCGATATAACTGCGTCGTGGCTTTAACTTTAATTTTACCAAATACCTACCCACTGAATAATAAGATTAGTGACTTTTTTACATGAGGCACTTATTCCAAATGGCACCGAAAAAGATGGCAATTAATGATGTCACTTCCACCAAATATATCAGCTCCTTATATAAAACTATCGGGGGCTGTTGGGATCATAGTTAGCTTCTATTACAAATACGAGAAAGAGCAAGATCCAGTTTTGCATTTAACCTAGATCTGTTGTAATACTCACAAAAAACAACGAGAAATTTAAGAATGATATTAATTTTGTCTTTTGTTGATAACCTCGAATAATCCCAACTGAACAACTATTGAAAACTATCGACGAATATTTCGAAAAAAGAAGAGTCGTCATATCTTGCTGGCTTATATAAACATCTCGGAAAAATCTACAGAAGATGAGGTTGTAGGCTCTTGGCAGAGAATATTGTCGCTGCTACTGGAACTGAAAGATTGAATGCATCAAGAAAGTGTTCGTCGACATGGAAAGAAAAGATCAGGCAAGCCAAAAGTAATCAAAACTAGATGATAAATATATGGTTACTCGTTTTGCGCACTCGAAATCGTTCTCCATGGGAGCTTTCTGTGAACTGGACAGGTAACTACGAAAAGAGTTTTATTCGGAACCACAGTCTTAATCTGAATCTGAAGAATTATATCGTCAGAAATCTTCAAATAGTGGAATTCAGGCAGTTTGTAACGACGAATAATTTTTCGATTTCACTTTTTTTTTATCATCACAGCTATAGCAACCTAGGACAATATACTAATTAATAACATAGGAAGTAATTTATTTCTAAATATATATTAAATTCTGGAAGTTTGAGGTATAAATTTGCATGATCTATAGCATCTCTTCTTCTTCTTCTAATAGCTCTCACCATTACTGGTTAGGCTGGCTCCAACGGCTACAAACGGTAAGACGCTTCCAAGCGGCGCGGTCTGATGCTATCGTCGACAGTAATGGAAGCCATTCCTTTTTCCATCGTTTAAGTCCATATATTGTTGGTCCACCTATACGTTCAAAATCTTTTCTCACCGTATCATTCCGGGTCTTGATTGGCCCACCTCGCTTTTGACGCCAACCGTCACACGGTTTAGCAAATAACGAAATTCCTATTCCTCTCAACTCCTGTGGTGGACGACGAAGAATATGCCCTAACCAACGAAGGCGGCACTCTGTGATAACATTATTTATGCAAGTGGTATTTGAACAAAGGTGGATGCGATCTTGTGAGATTTTATCCACTTGGCGAACCCGTAAAATATACCTTAGACAAGAGTGGTCAAAGGCAGATAACTTCTTAATATCCTATACTCTCACTGGCCATGTGTCAGAACCATATAGTAAAATCGAACGGATCAAGGCAATATAGATGCGGACTTTCGTTTTTATGGTGATTTCACGACGATTCCATAAAGGTTTCGTCAACCGGAAAAACGCATTTCTAGCTGCCGTGATCCGAGTTATAATATCATCTTTTGCTTGTTCATTTGGTATTAGAGTGGACCCAAGGTATTTGAAATCAAGCACTTCCTCAACCGGCAATGAATTTGCAAAAAGAGGCATTTTATTAGCTTCTTGCACATAAGACGAAAAGACTTTCGTTTTATTTACATTGATCCTGAATCCGATTCTTGCTGCAGTTTCTGACACGTTATTAGTATTACTTGCATTTCGTTATAACTGTCAGCAAAAAGGATCATCATCATCTTGCGTATTCAAGATCTGTGATACGATGATGTGGATAAATTCGGACACCTCTTGAGTGCCGACAAGCAGTATCCAGTATCCATTATCCAGTCTATCGCATAGTTGAATATTGTGGGGGAAAGGACGCAGCCCTGACAGACACCTATTTCGAAGGAATCTGTCAGCTCCCCATATAGACGTGCGCCGACGTGCGCTCATAAAAATGCCTTTATGAGTCTAATGATCTAATGATTTTCTCTGGAACACTATCTATAGCATCTATTAAATAGTAATCCAAATAGTATCAATGGAACGTGGTTAGATATTCTACTGATAATCGGGAGGAACTAAACTTCGACGGCTTTGTGCTAACACGCAAGGACAATAAATGGTTTAAATACTCGGGAAAGTGGACTTATTACGCTTATTCCTGGTTATTACAAATTTGTAATTTTTGGAATTTGATTATGATTGTTCCTCTTTTGAAATTTATCTTAAAAGTAAAAATATTTCTCTCTTAAATCTATATCGCCCACTAGGAATAATTTCACTTCCGATATTCACAAATTATTAAGATTAAAATTATTTGGTTGTGATTATGTAATTTTTGATGATCATAATATGCCAAAATACAGACTGGGAAAATAATTATATAAAAGATAGCAATAAAGTGGAGGAAAGTTTTCTAAATTTTTGTACTTACACTGGTCTAGAGCAGTATATTCAGATTATCACTATGCTATATTAGACGTTGCTATCTTCTGGGGATAGGTTGATTTAGTGGGTTGTTGCTGAATTCGGAACGCCAATAATAAGATTCTATCCCTCGCAGGAGTAAGCCTGTCCAAAAATCCGAGTGATATTGGCGATTCATCTGTATTTCTTTCGCCAAGGGACTCCCTGGCATATTTGTCCAGTGCGACAAGCCAGCGGAGGTAGTTTAACCAGTTATGGTGAAAAATTTTAAAAAAGAAAACCTCTTCTACTTTTTCCTTCTATAGAATTATGTCGTTGCATAGCAGTGTTTTTGATTTTATTCATGCTTCTTTAATAATGAACCATTCTATATCTCCTCCTAGATTTGCTAGAAATTATCGTGGTCGTGCTTATGAACTTATTAACTTATTAACTCTTTCCTCGCGCAAATAAATTGGTATTTTATCTTCTGTCGTCTAACTGATTCTATTCTATTGACCAGAACATTAATTCCCTTAATTACACCATATTATATCTCATTAAGCGATATATTCCTTTAAAAAAAGAGAAAATTGTTCGGTCTATTCCTCTTTCCTTGAAGTATCTCAAAGATAATGTAAAGAATCTTTACAATAACTATAAATTAACTAATTGCCTCTGATCCCTCTGAACATAAAGACAAGCTTTAAAAGCTTGTGTTGTGCTGCTCATAAGTAAAGAAGAGGGACTTTTAAATAACAGTCGAGATTCGTTTTTTGAAGATTTCGGATCAAAAAAAATTTGCAACTCCTCGAAAAAAAATAATTCAACATCATTATGTGATCATTATGTGATAATGATACATTATGTGATCATTTTCGATTTCGCAAGTGTGTTTAATCAATATTTTTCTAGTACAATTGTTGACGATAATATTAATCGTTTGTTTTTCGATGAAAGTCGATCCTGTGGTTCCTTCAGTGAGATTGGAACTACGTTATTAGACGTCTAAATATACTTAAATCTTCTATTTCAACTGGTCCATATAACATCCTACAAATATTTCTAAAAAAATGCGCTGTCCCCCTCAGCTTTCTTCTGTTTTTAATTTACAAGAACATTACAAGAAGTGGTCGAAATGCAAGATTTTGGAAATTGACCCATATAATTTCCATTTGTAAAAAAGGAAACTATTATTATGATAATTAGGCCTATTACCCTAACGTACATTATTAGTAGAATGGCTTCTGCTCAAAAAAAAATCTACTTCCACTTCTTCACAAATATTAGTAGACAAACCTTTCCGATTGGTCTGCACCTGTTGATACCTTGACTTGGCTAAAGCATTTGATACTATTTCACATTAAAGTTGCCAGTCACCATCAACCGTTATGGCATTACAGGCAGTTTCAAGGTCAAGATTTTTATCCACGATTTAGCCAAAATCTAATACATATTCGAGACTAATTCTAATTATGTAATTATGTTATCATTTACAAAGAAGAAATAAAAAGCAACTGGACAACTGAACATAAGATTATTTAAAAGTCCGATACATTTTAACCACTGTTGTACTTGTTGTACCACTGATAAATTCTGCCATTTATCTTTACGTTGGTTGCTGAAAATTTATTATTCTCAATCGGATAACCTGTTCCCACTACAAGTTATCCATTCAAAAATATAGCGTATTACATATCAACTCGAAATGATCCGATCTTCTCTTTATTAATCGTGGATTAAAATCTTGATTTCAAATTTATAATTGTTTGTAATTTGCAATTTATGCGACAATGGATAAGTTAATCGTTGAACTATTAATTGATGAAGAACGTAGAAATTGTAAGAAATTAGAAATTTGTAAAAAATAAAGATAAAAATTTGATTTTCTTCGTAATTCCCTTCTCTTTTATTATTTCTCTTTGCGTTGTTGGCTTTTGATCATATTCCTTTTGCTATTTTTATCGCAATCACTAATTCTTTGCTTTTGATACTTTATCTTGTTGTTATTAATGCAGGCACATGGCGCTTGCTGCCTGCTTGGTTGTTTAAATAAATAAATAATAATAAATAAAGAGTGGAATGATTCAGTAGGTTATTGCTCACTCTTCGGAATATGGGCGTTGAGACTCTATTCCCGCAGGAATAAACCTTTCCTTCAAAAATTCGCTGGCGATTTATCAATACTTCTATCGCCAAGTGATTTTCTGGCAAAATTTGTCTGGTCTCACAAGCCAATGGAGCAAGCTTAGCCAGGAATGAGCGATCTTCAAAAAAAAATAGGTTGCAATTTTTATTTTTATGAGAATAATAATAATTGCAATAATGAATATAAATGTTCCATAAGGTTTTAAATCATTTCCTGAAACATAAACAATTGTTAAAGGTTCTTCCAATTTATGCGACAATGGATAAATTAATCGTTGAACTATTAATTGATGAAGAACATACAAATTGTAAGAAAACACTTCATGGTGGTCAAACAGCAGCGTTAACTGATATTATAACATCGCTTCATACTGCAGTTGTTGTTCGAGATAAAGCATTCGTTTCTGTCGAACTTAGCGCTAGGTAAAAAATTTATTTCAAAACTTTTCATCGATTACATTCAGATGAATCAACTTTATTAAATAAATAGTGGCAAGGGAAATAGCCTGAAGGAAGAGCAAAAAATGAAATGAAAATGAACACAGAGTGTCGATAACACTGGCAAATATTAAAGTCTAGGCTTAACGCTTAGTCATAAACCCATTTTGAAGCATGAAGAGAGGAACAATAAAATGGCGACAATGGCTAGCCTCAATAGATAGATCGTTGTAAATAAATTAAAGTTTTTTTTTTAACTGTGAGGCTTCTGAAGATGCGGTATGCAGCATGAAAAGAGGCATCAATAGGGTTCAGGAAAAGAGAGATGAATTCGGAGAAAGGATTATCTTCTGCGACTTACTATTTCTTCGACTTTGTCGCGGAACAGCGAAAGTAAGGCCGACTCTGAGGTGTCGCAAATCGAAACATTATAAACAGAATTCGGATTAGCAATTCAAAACAATAATTCAAATTTAAAAATCCGCGTGGCAGGTGCTCAACAAGAAGAAGCAGGCTAACATCATCAAAAAATAGCCTTGCCGGCGTATCCTTTTTCATCCCATAACAGTGAATATGGCTGGTGAAAGACACAAAACCCTTAGATTTAAAATTATGTAGAGTGTTGCTGTTATTAAGTGCAATCTTATGTTATCCTGGATGATTTGTTAGAGTTTAGCTCCAAAGGGCTTATTCTACTGGGTTATAGCGTCGTGCAGAGAATTTCTGAACTGCTTTACTTTAAGCTAAGCCGTAATTTTGTGGTAATGTAAATATAATAATATAGTAATAAGTAATTTTCAAGTGCTTAGAAATTTGCACACAAATTTCAGTTATATATTACCTGTAAAAATTGGCGAATTAATTGAAATCGAATCAAAAATAATTCGAATTGGAAGAAAATTAATATTTACAGAAATCGAGTTTCGAAGAAAATTCGACGGAGCTATCGTCGTCAAAGGTAAACATTTATTATCGCTTGTTAATAATGCCAACAATGCGAATTACAACGAAATTTTGCGATAACTTTTTTCCAATTACTGCAAAAATTTGGAAAAAAAGAAAGAAAATTTTAGCTGAAAAACTTATCCTTTTCGCCCACTTTACTTGAATTTTTGAATTTATAAAATTTTTTATTTTCATTTTAATAATTTACGTCTTCTCGCGCTTGTCATTTCTCTTATTTCTCGTGCAATTTCACAATTTTACAATTTATTTCGCTTTATTTTTTTAAAAAGTTTTATATAAATATATTGCTTTTTGTTAGAAATTTTTTGCATCTATAAAACTTTAGATTTTTCTCTGAAATATTTTTTCTTTGTTCGATTGAAATCATTCGTAAGGAATTTAATTGTTGCTTTTCCTCTTCTATTGTTCTTTATTACACTAATTAATATTTCTTTTTCGTGCAACTACAACGCATCTTTTTCGTACGAAATGGTTTACTTATTACCTTATCAGTTATTATATCAGTCATCAAATCTTATTAAAATTGCTGCTATTCAAAGCGTTGTGATTTCATCAAATAAAGACGAAGAAAAGACTTGTGACATTAAAATCTGATTATTACTTGCCTGTAATATTGATCAAGTACTGAATAATTTATCAGCAAAACATGAAAGTTTTTCCGAGAAAAAATTTTTCCATGATTCTATGAGCTTAAATTTTAAGATAACTATTAGGGACACTATTGTTGCTGGTAAAAGAAACACATTTTTTTAAATGAAGACTTATTATTTGTGATATTTCAAGTTTATTTCATGCAAATTTCCGACTGAAATACAAACTACAACTCTGATTCATTGTTTGTCAAAAAAAGGACTGAACAAGAATTAACTCAAAAATATACCTAAAATGTGCCCTTAACATTTTCGAGAAATATTGTAAAACTTGTGATATAACTTCTAATCAATTCCCTAAAAGTATAGAGAATAAGCAATTTTACAAAAAATCCATCCCATTTATTCGCTCAAAAATTTTCATCTATTTATTTCTCTATTTTCAATTAAAAAAAGAAAAAACAAATGCATAATAGTAAAAATAAAAATAACAATAGCGAAAATAACAAGGTGGTACTGCATATGACACGCATTAATCCCATTTTCCAAGAATGTCGCTTTCTCGGAATATATGATATTCTTTATCATCAACGACCACTTTTGTTCCACCATATTCGGGAAGTAAAACTCGATCGCCAACCTAAGATTTCTTTATTTACTGCAAAATGAAAAGATGATTTTTGGAGAATCAATCGTCCTCTATTCTCAAATATCTTTGCAACGAAAAAGTCTTTAAACAAGGAGACTTGGCAATGTATCATCATCATAGTTAGCATAGGTTGTCTTATTAACATTTAATTTTTATATTTTTTATAGGCATTAATTATAGGTAACACGCCGCACGATGCGCTCAAGAATGTTGCAAGAATGAGGCGTTAAATTCTCCAAAGCCTACTATGAGTCTTGTTAGTTGTTTAAGGAAAAGAAAGTGCGCGCTAGTATCAGCCACTCAAAACGGAAAAAAGAACTATAATAACCTTAACAGACATAGGCAAATTCTTCCCGTCTTTGTCGACAGCACCTGGTCCAGCAGCAATAACCGTCGCTTCGAGAACTTTCCCGTGTGATTTCTCGGGTAACATTACACCTGTCGGAAACGACCGAAAGTAAGAAATAAAATAATAATACGGTAAGAATTCATAAAGCCTTTTTAAAATTCAAAAAAGGGAAAAACAACAAAATTTTAGCAAAAGCTTTTATGCAAATATGCAAACCAATCAAAATTGTTTTGCCTTTTTCTTTCTTCACGGATCTATTAGAATTTGTAAAGCGTCTTATTAACATCAAAAACAACAATTATGGAAATATTTCCTTTTAAATAGAAATAAACAGATTCGACCATGAAGCACCATCTGTTGCCCCTGATATAACTGATACGTTCGCTGAACCATGCGCTTGCAACTGCGAGCCCCGAAAGAAGAAGAAGTAATATCTGTCCATAAGCTTAAGGCCAATAAGGCCCCCGGAGAAGATGGTCTTCGGGCTGAACTCTTTAAATGTTGCCCATCGTTCTTCATAATATATGTTCAACAAATGTACTTTTCTGGTATGGGAAAAAGAAATGTTACCAGATGAGTGGAGCAAAACAATTCTGCTCCCAATTTTCAAGAAAGATGATAGGACATACTGCGACAATTATCGAGGAATCAGCCTACTAGACGCATAAGTAAAAATTTTTGCTTCTCTTTTACTCAACAAACTTATGGCAGTACGGGACAGTAAGATGCGCCCTAATCAAGCTGGTTTCAGACCAGGGCGCGGTTATGCTGACCAGATATTCACGTTAAGAAGGGTGTTAAAACATCGCTTCAGATATTTGCAATCCACTGTCACGTGTTTCATCGACTTTGCGGATGCCTTTGATTCAATTGATAGAAAGGCGCTTTGGAGGATGATGGAACATGATGGTGTTCCAGAGAAAATCATTGGACTCATAAAGGCATTTTGTGAGCATATATCAGCGCAGGTCTGTGTATATGGGGAACTAAATTCGAAATAAGAACTGGTGTCCATCAAGGTTATGACCTTTATGGTGTCAAAAGCGAGATGGGCGACTAAAGACCTGGTTGATACCTCAGAAAGGATTTTGAGCGTATAGGTGGACCAGCAATATATGGATTTAGACAATGGAAAAAGAAATGGCTTCTATTTCCGTCGACGATGGCCGAGCCGCTTGGAAGCGTCTTACCATTTGTAGCCGTTGGAGCCAGCCTAACCAGTAATGGTGAGAGGTGATAGAAAAAGAAAAAGAAACAAATTCGATATAATTGGATTTTGCCGTTTTGGTGGGTCGACGAACCATCGCCCTCGTCTTGTTTCATCCAACCCATTTTTTTTATCATAACTAGTCTTCTACTTAACTATATTCGCTATTCGCTTCAGATCTGTTAAATAACCATTTTCATTTATTATCATAATTGTAATTTTAATAAATATTTTTATTCAAAGTCGCAACTGCACATTCTTTTTCCGATAACACTCTTTGACTCTTCTAATTTCTAATTTCAGGTGCACATCTTTCAATTAATACTCGATCAAATAAAGGCATAAATGACATTATGATTATTGCTACAAAACGGTTCAAGAACATTAATTCTAAATGAATTTAATTAATTCTAAATTAATTCTAAATGAAGTAAGAAGGAGAAAATCTGGAAAATTCTTCAGAAGTTTATCTCAGCATTGAGATTCATTCAAATACCCTAAAGCTTGTAGAAAATGGAGCAGAATGGAGGAATTTTCAATGGATTGCATGATTCCTTTGATCTAACATCTAGTGTAAATGTTTTGAAATGCTTTGATCGTAGAGCGACAGGAGTGAATCTGTCACAAAACATCAGATAGAGGGAAAATGTACTTGTGTTATTTCTGCCAGATTCTGAAAAAAAATTCATTGTAATTTAGAAATTTATAAAATAAAGTTTTACATATTATCTATATTTTATATATGCACATTCGATGAACGACGAAAGCAAATATACGTTTACTTTTTGAACTTTTTGGCCCTCGTTTCTTGCCTTGCGGCGTTCCTATTGAGCGGCTCAAACGTTTTCTTGTGCCTCCACTCGCTAATTCTTTTTCGTCGTTCCTTTTCTAACTCACACTCATTCCCTCATTGATCCGTTTCACTGTTGACAGTCTAATTCTTTATTCATATTTTTATCACTAGCCAAGCAATATATCTCAATTTTATTCAGATTTCTATTACTATTTTATTCTATTCCTTTTTATTCGAATTCGAGTTTTGCCCCCGTTAATTAACTATAAATCGATTAAAGTATTGAATTTTGCTTGATTTGCTGTGTTGCTCTAAAGTAGAGATTTTTGCTTTCGTCGTACCACGACATGCATTTGATGCGATCTTGTTTGTTTAGGAAAATTTCTGAGGCCAGCACTAAACGAATTTATATATCGCTCCATAATTTATTTCTGAAGATTTTTAGAAAGCCAAATGAAAAAATATGCACATAGGGTGAGACTGATGAAAAAGTGATAAGTAAAGTTATGTCACCAAAAGTCGGCTAAGTGTACGATGTTAATTCTTAGATCTCGAACAATAAATTTTTTCATGTTCAATTCTGTTTCGTTTCTTTCATTCCATTTGAGATATAATGTGATAATCTTTCGTTTGATGATCCGAAGAGTGATTTAAGGAATATAAAAATGCATTCTTTGGGTATCGAAGCAATGGCTGTGGCCTTGCTGTCCCAAACGGTTGCCAGAATATGCATTTCAAGAAATGTTGGATACCAAATGTTTCTATGTAAAAATATGAAACAATACTGCAATAGCTAACGGAATATTGTTAATGGAGTTATTGGAGTGGATGAACGCTATGGATACACGACTTTTCGGGCACGCCACAATGGAGAACAATTCCGTTTTCTTCATAGTGCAATCGTAATTTAGCAGCCAGTGATATGAAATGATACAGTATAAAAATAATTATATGCCTGGTAAGGATAAGCGCTACCATCTTGTACGCTGAAGGCCGAACTCAACCATGATTCATCATTTATCATCACGGATATAACTAAAACGCTGAGCTACATGTTTGTAACTACGAACAGCCAACAGAGCAAGAAATAATCTCATTCAAAAAGTTAAGATGAATAAAGTTTCTCGGAGAATACTATCTTCCAGCTAAAATCTTCAAATACTGAAAGTTTTCCACAACTCGTCTTCAATAAATATAGTCCCTGGAAGAAAAAATTTTCACCAGATAACTGAAATAAATCAATCTCTAACAGTCGTGAAAAGGATGATAGAACATATTTTGACAACTATCAAGGAATTAGCCTACTAAAAGTCTGGAAAAATATCTCTGTTGCTGAATAGGTAATACTAATAAGTGGCCTTAACCAAACTGAAATTAGGGGCATGATTGTGGCGACCAAATTTCATGCTAAAGATGATGGTCAAAAGTCGCTTCTCATATCGTAATTCATTATCATTTGCTGATTTTACTAATTTTAATTTTCTCGTTATCCTCGGTTTAGTCGATAGAATACCACTCTGGAGAATGATGAAAAATGAAATATTTTGTCAGCACTCAAGAGGTGAGTAAATAAGTCCAGTGTGCATAATATTCAAGATCCTGAACACGCTGATGACACGCTCCTTTAATGCAAGCTGCAATAAAATCAGGACTTAATGAGGTAAAATAGGTATTTTATCAATTTTTTTGGAATGAGGAAATGCCAGATTTTGATATCTTATGCCCAATCAAATGGCCAACAGAAAGATAAATTATGGCTCGGATAAATGCCTTTCGCATCGAATTCACAATCAAAATGAAAATTCTTATCTATCTTGATGCAGTGCGTCTTGATGCATCTTATAGCTGCAAAACAAAGCCAATAAAAGTAAAAAATAAATATGCCTTTGATCATTTATGTTTAAGGCACATTTTATTTTATGCATTTTATGCATTATTTTTGCAAACACTATCTACCTATCTACATTCAAAATATCTTCACAGAGCGTCGCCTAATTTACATAGGCTATATTCATCATTGCCCACATAGGACTAAAAAGGGCGACCAAATTGAACTTATAGTTATAGCAACAAATTACCTCAACGAGCTTTGATAAGAAGGGTATAAGGGAATATCATCAGTATATAATAGGTGGCAGAAAGGACAAAAAGGATTGAAATTATTAAAAATATATAACGATTGATATAAGGCATTTGCAGGTACTGAGAAGTCATTAGAGACGACTATTCGGTTCAGGGAATATAAGAGACAGTTGATGACAGCTGGGATGAATTATCAAAAATCTTATCATTTTTGGGTATATAAGTCTCTTTATTTCTGGAAAAGAACATAAAACTTAATGAGTTAAATGGCCTATAATTTATCACTATAAAAAAATGATAAGATTCTTTCGTTTTTTGAATTCATTTTTTTAAATGAAAGATTAAAAATTTATTAGAAGGGTCATATTAATTTCTTTGGTCTTCCTACCAAATCCACAATTTATATTTTTAAAACAAAAAAAAGAAACTTAGGAAAATGATAAAAAAAGAAAAATTAGGAAAATCCATTGCGGGAAATAAACCTATCATTATAAGTTCGTATCAGGCTTTTGCATTTTCATTCTCAAATGACTCTCTGACGAACGACTTCCAGGCTATTAGTTAATGGAGCCGAACAATTCAAAAATGGCGAATTTGAATAGAAAGAAAAGTTAAAATTTTAAATCAAAATTGTAAGCAATAAAATGAAGGAGAAAAAATTGAAGAATTATTTATCTAAATGAAGAGCAGTCCTTTAAAGAAATTTCGAATTTTCATTTAGAAATGCTTAAGTTTAAATTATTCCTAAATTTACTGGTTCTAAGAGAAAATTTGCTATATATGAAGACCCATATTTTTCTTAGGTTTTGAACAAAGGTTTGTATTCATAAAATAAATAAATAAATAAGTAAATAAAAAAAAATTGCCTTGCGAAAGTCCAAGTAAACTCTGAACACTTCTGTGTTGATCTGAAAATTATTATTATTTCAGCATTAAATCCTGGAATACAAAGGTACTTGCAAAATAATAAAATTACTAGAAGAGCTGCATGACCTTGTGATC